GGAGGGGAGATAAAAGACGATAGATGTTTGAAAGGAAAGAAGAAGCAAATCACACCAGAGCACCCGCCAACCGCCCACTCTCTCACTCTCAGTGGACGCTGTTACAATGCCGGATACACTACATCGCACAGATAGACCAGCAAGTCTATACAATAGATCTATCACTCTCATGATTAATGGTAAGCTTACTAGGTTTCTTTTTTATATAACAAAACAAAAAAAGTTTAAGAAAAAATACAATCCAACCCGCTGACAGCCGGCTGTATGAGACATTCACCTGTACAAAAGGCCACTTCCCATTTCCTTCCTTGTATGTATTTCACAATTGTAGTTAATTTGGCACGGACTGTGTAAGGTCCGACCATAAACGGAAAAGGTGAACAAAGCTCCATAGTCAAAGACAAGCACAACCAAATTGCACATAAGCAAATGCATTAAAAAAAGACGACAAGGGCATTTCTAGACAAACAGTCACTTCACATCACATTTGAGAGTACTGGTCTAATTAAAAACTAACAACCTGACCAAACTGACATATATATGTACATATCAGACTTGCAATGGTTGTTTTGCAACAAGTAGAATTTCTGAATGTTGAACTGAACATTTGTAATAATTGTCCGAAGTCGATAGATTTGAAAAATCGCCCGAATGTGACAACTGTCTTAATTGAGGCTGAGGTAAACACTACAACTCAAAGCACCCGTTGCTATGGGGATGCGTCTGTGAATTAAGGTTAGGATCTCAGACTTGCAATCGTAAGGTCATGGGTTAGAATCCTGTCAGGGGCCCGACGTTGTGTCCTTGGGAAAGGCACTTTACACGCATCTTCCACACTTCACCCAGGTGGGAATGGGTACCCAGCTATAGACAGTAACAGATCTTGTCAGTTTGTTAGTGTTTGAACGCTTAATCCGCCGTTTGCACAGTATGCTTCACGGGAAGCTGAGAATGTTTCAGAGTGTTCTAAGGGTCTGCTAGGGTAATAATATAGTGTGTAAAGCGCATAAAGCTTGCTGTCGAGCAGGGATATGCGCTATACAAAAGCTACTCATAACAAATGCTATTTATTATTATTAAAGGTTTTGAGAGACAAACCATTCAAGACACAAAAGAAGGAAGGATTCTAAGCGATGGCTGTAGGAGGCTGAGCTGTTGGCCTTGCTCCTAAACAATGACCATCCCCCCCCCCTCCCCCCTAATCATACTCAAGAAGATGGGGGAGAAAATGACTGAGGAAATTATAAGTAAAATACTTGCAAGTAATTAACACTTCTTCAAACTATAATATCATCCTTCATTTTGATGACAAAACTGAAAATAAAAATTTCCAAACAAAATACCCAATCCCTGATCATTCTATTCTGCCTCACAGTGTACAACAAAACAGCGCCGGGCTTGAACAAGACATGTATCTAAATCAGGTTTCAGCCAGTGGAGAAACAAAACATCTACCTTTCCCTCACTTCCCCTAATCATCATTGTAAATTGCAAATATTATATCATAATTGCCAGATACAGTATTATATAGGAAACAGAACATCTATTTTTCCCTCAAAAAAGGACACCCTTTTTTTCCTCACTTCCCCAAATCACCGTTGTAAATTGTAAATATCAAAACTGCCAGACACAGCATTCTAAAGGAGAGCAAAAAACTGTTGTAAAACAGAAGCGTCAATATGTCACAAAGTTCTCATTACCCAACAAGTCTGTTTTTGAAAACTAAATCCTATCTAAAATCTCAGTTTTCAATGAATTAAAAATTCAAAGTGCAGTCTAATCTTTTCTAAGGCCCACCTACATAAAAGACGATCACCTGTACAAACAACCACTTCCCATTTCCTCCCTTGCGTATATTTTTACATTAGAAAGACAGTGGATGAGACGTTCACCTGTCTAAGACTGTCCCCCTGGTTTTATGCACCCTGCACAATTTAGCAAAATTTGATCATTTTCTGCATAATTTTTCATAATTTTCCTTTATCATTCTTTGTTAAAATTAACAGAATCGCATAATTTCACATTTTTGGGCTCAGTTTGCCTAATTTCAGAATTTTTCTTGCATAAAACAACGGGGATAGCCAAAACAACTATTTTTCTCCTGGACAATAGATGGCCCCCTTGGACAATTTCGACCGTATGTTTTATCATGTCAGTTGAACTAACCTCTCAACTTGGACAAAGTCAGGACAATGGCAGCTCATGCGTGCTCCGCATACAGGAAAGCACAGAAAGAATTCGGCAGTGAAAAGCTTAAGAAGAGCCAAGTACAGTGGAGTACGCTTTTAACCGAAATCAACAGCACCGCCAGATTTTTGGGGGATTAGCCATGTTTTCAAGTTAGAGAGTTTGCTCAAATAGAGAAAAAGAAAATTTTTTAATAAAAATTGAGGATTCTATTTTCCTTTTGTTTATCAGTGTTTTCAGATTGACTATGTTTGGTGTAAGTGGACTCCACTGTACTCGTCAACTGTATGAATTTCTGTTACCAACAACAATAATGAGTGCAAAATAAAATCTCGCATAATTACTACTGCTATTGTTCTCACAACACTAAAGCAGGTCCAAGCGACCAACACCAAAAGTTACCGCTAAAACAAACCGTTCATTACATTAAAACAAAAACTTTACCTCTCAAACACAATTTGAACAAATGCATAGTAATCATCCAGCTTAGAACACAGTCTGCTAAACAATTTAACAACTCTGTAACAAAACAAAGATAAAAAATTGTTCAGGATAAAGTAGGAGAGTACTCACAAAGTACTAGAGACAGGTATATCTGACCGCAGAAGTTCAAATGGTGGCTTTTAAGGACAAGCAGGCTAACCCAGATCTTGGGGGGATTTCCAGAAGTCTTGACCTCCACCAAAAGAGGGTATTGCTCTACCTATAGGAGAAGTTTGGTTTCATTAATGCGTATATAGTATATTTGTTCGGTTATAGAGAAAACTCTTCTCGTCTCTTAAAGAAACTGAACAAGGGTCCAAAAACTTTACCTTCGATTTTCTCAAAGCGGCATTTTTTTGGATAGCCCCCTTGTGATTAAAAGCGACCAAATATGTTCTATATATCATATCTATATATATTCAAAATTGTCCAAGACAACCACCTGTAAAAGTGACCAGTAGTGACCACTTCCCAGTCCCCCCCCCAAAAAAGACACTGTTTAAGAAGACCACACATCTCGGTGGCCACTTTTCTCCTGGCCAATGGGTGGTCATCTCGGACAAGCTCGACAGTATGTAATTTATCATTTGCATGCAGGTACATATTGTCACCATCATTCATCTTTTCTGTATGTCAAAACACACGGTCGTCTGAAGAAGCAAAAAAAACAAAACTATGGTATATATTTCTTTCATGATGTTATCTTAAAACGTTACTTTACTTTTCCGATCCAGCGGCCATTTGGGTTCCAGCCCTTCGGTCTGTCGATATGGCAAAGAATTTACAGGTTTTAATCAGCTGTGCTTTGTGGTCTTAAAACAAAAACGTTAACTTCGTCTAAATCCGTTGCTATTTCATAAAAAGGAATCCAGCTTGAACCGACTGATGCGCCTCATCAAACTCTGCAACACAGCCCCGTAAATTTTCATTTTTTCCCAATTTTGATATACTACAACATTGAAAGTCATTGACAATATGTATTTATTATATATATATGTGTGTGTGTGTGTGTGTGTGTGTGTGTGTGTGTGTGTGTGTGTGTGTGTGTGTGTGTGTGTGTGTGTGTGTGTGTGTGAGGTGTACTGACAAAATGAATAACTTCTCGCAATCCACAAATGGAGATATTGGCCAAAAATCGACTCATGGGTCACGTTTTTAGATTTTCCATTGTGATCGATGCCATATATTCTTCTTTTCATACTTTTAAATTGTAAAAACTTCAGCTATAAAAATAATGTATCTATTTCCAAAGGGCTCGAACCGGAGAAGCTACTCATTTCGTCAGCATACACATATATATATATTATATATATATATCATGTATAATGTAACAATAACATTACATCAATAGCCCAGTGTACAACTCTGTCATACATCACTTTTGAAAATGGCGTATGACAAGAGTCTCACACTAATCGGTCGATACGCATCATGTATGGTGGGGGCTAAAGTTTCCGCAGATCGTAGATCAGGAAAATGAACCAACATAAAGTCTGTCGTTGTTGTGAGAAGATAAATGGGAAACTCCCAAATTTTTTTGTTCACCTTGCAAAACAGGGTTAAAGTTAAACAACTTCAGCATATTCCTTGCAAGAACTACCATTAGTTTCACAACAAAATTCTCTTATAAAAACAGAAAAGACTTCATATGACAGCTGTCAGTTTGAAAATAGAAGTGAAGACACCTCAGTCATACTTGTTGACACATTCAGAGATTAACAAGTCAATGTTGACCTTCTCGATTTAAAAAAAAAAAAAAAAAAAAATTATTGAGTTTTAGTTTTCGTAAGAGTTTTACGGCACTTGCAACACAATAAGGTCATAAAAGTGCCGAAGACTAGAAGTGTTACAAGAGAGTAACAACACAATAAGGTCATAAAAGTGCCGAAGACTAGAAGTGTTACAAGAGAGTAACAAACACGAAAAAGGAGGGGAGATAGAGAAGATAGACTTTTTTTAGGAAAGAAGGAGCAAACCACACTAGAGCACCCTCAAACCACTCACGTAATAATATTGAAGGCGTTTTACAATTTAGATCATTGAAGAGATGGGCTTCAAATCTGCCTGTCACGGCAAACAGAGCCTGAGAGGGATACAAACGTCCCAGTAGAAAAACTGAGACACACAATAAAAAAAATCTCCCTTCACGAGAACTGAACTCGGGTCTGCTGCATGCAATGAGGAAGCGGTTAACCCTATCCGTATGCTAGGGGTAATTTCGTACCCCAGGGGTTGTATTCTTCATATTTTAGAATGCTTCTAGAGTGAAAATCTCTTTGAAACTTCCAGCATTTCTCAAAAAATCATTTTGACAAACTGCTATGCAAAGGGTACGGATCGGATTAATGAGTAAATTTCCTCTTTGGAAAGTGGTGGCACTGAGTTCCCCACATCGTACGGATATGATAGAAGTAAAAGACGATGTACGAATAGGGTTAACCGCTGCAGCACAGACGCCAGTAACCGTATCTGTAGTTCAAAAAGGAAATTGATATGAGGATGGACATGTAGTGTTGAGGGGAAAAAAAGCAAGAAAACATGCATAAAGAAAGATGAACAGGAAAGAAGTAGACCTCTTATCATATCTTATCTCCCAGTGGGTTCCTTTAACCACCTCAACTATAATAAAGAAAATCAATAAATGCAAATCCTTTAAAAAATCAAGGGTAGCTTTGACCCATCCTACTTGCACGCACAATAATAGTTTATTAAGACCCCAGTACATCATTGGACCAAAGCAATATCACAAGGAAAAACCAGAACAACAAAGGACCGTGGAACTCCTACTTTTGCCTGATGACTTTCATAAATTTACTGTTGTTGATATAGCTGCAAAAATCTTCCAGAAAGTTTTTTCTTTTGTCGATGTACGACGCTCTAACCTTGAATGAACTGAGCAGCCAAGACTCACAAATCTTTTCTTCAGTCCATACTTTTGGAAAGCCATTCATTATTCGCCAGCAGTTGTGAATTAGAAAAAATAATAATAGCTGCACCCTATACTGCAGCAAAGAGCAAATGTTTAAGACCTCCACCTTTTTCCAACACAACGGTGGTTGTGCCGAAGGGCACATACTCTAAGGCTATTGGATTAACAACAACAACAACAACAACAATCAACAACGACAGCAAAGTCAGGTGCCTACTTGTGCTACCTTTAAGAGGCTAGCATTTTCCTACCGCCCACTCCTCTCACTGCTCTGGTGATCCCCTAGCATTACCACAACTTGTAACTTGCCTACTAGTGGGCAATACCGTTCAGGCTAGTAAGCGCACTGATCCACACTTCTCTAGCAGGGAACATGCTTGCATCTTTCACAGGCTCAAAAAAAAAAAAGAAAAAAAAAAGAGTGGCACTGAAAGAAAGACATGTTCAATGACTTCAAGCCAGCAAATTAACACCAGGAATGGGAAGTGTGTATATATATATATCCCAGTTACAGAGTTACGTCGAGCCAAAAAACCAATGCACAGATCAGACACACGAAAGAAAAATGTCAAACAGGAAGCTGAGAAAGTTTCGGAATGTTAATAGATCTGACAGAGAAATTTTTTTAATCGCAAAGCGCAAGCACCCTTCTTTCGAGTAGGGGATATGTAACTGAAATTTACAATGTCTCTTCTCCTTTATCTGATTGTTTGGGGTTTTGATAGATGTAAGTGATGTTGTGGAGATCCGAGAGTGTCCCTCGCAGCTTTGTCTCCTGGGCCAGTTCAGTCCAAGAAGTCCCCCAAGACCCATCAAGCATTAGTGGAGAAAAGTTGCCAACGATACACATACATTGCTCCCACATATGCATTATATCACACTCAGTTGCTCATGATGCACATACGGTACTCCTTAAAATGCACATCACTTTCAATTGCACACGATATACACAAACACCGCTCCCAAATAGGCACATCACTTTTAGTTGCACACAGTATACATATATATATATACATCACTTTTAATTGCACATGATGCACATACATCACTCCCAAATATGTGCAACACTTTCTGTTGCACATGACAGAGATATATACATCACTCTGCATATATTGACTATTTTTCAAAATGGCATGGGGGGCGGCAGTCTTACACTGAGCAGTCGATATGTATGTCACTCTCAGTTAAACATGATACGTATACATTACCCTCACATAGGCATATCACTTTCAGTTGCACACGATATACACATATATATATATATATATCATTCTCACATATATCAACTGCTTTTCAAAATGGCGAGTGGGGCAGTCTTACACTAAGCAGAAGATATGCACGTCACTCTCAGTTGCACATGATACATATGCATCAATCTGCATACACGCACAGCACTTCCAGCTCTGTGCCCTTCCAGCAGGAGCCAAGGTCAGTCTTGTCAGAGAAGGGATGCAGAAGTATGTCTTTCCCACCCTCATGAACATCTCTTGTGTTACTTTCAGGGCATTGTGTTGATCACTTCCTGCAAATACAAAGAGAGAGAGTGGGGGGG